CCAGATCCCCAAACAGGAAACAAGAAATCAGGGTTTTAAAAGACAAGAGAAGATTAGAGAGAAACCTTTGTAGAATCTTGTAATTCAACCAAGCTCCAAACTGAAATGTCTGAAAAAAAAAATAGAGGATAAGAACAGTGAGCAGCAGATGGTAGCGTGCAAGATTAGAGATTCTACTTTGTACACGATATTGCCTCAAAATTTCAATAAACAAATAAGAGACCAAATTATAATACAAGACACAAGGAATATAATATTATAGATTGGTAGGGCAAAGGAAACGAAATGAGATATTCCCGGAGAGAAAATTACGCATCAGTTTTCTTACAACTATACGGAGAAAAATCAGACGGAAGATTCGATTTTTGATCTTGATGTAAAGCTTTTCTGAGGAAATTTTGGAAGGGATCTTACTAGGGTTTAACGGAGCGAACAAGGAAGGAAGAAAATTGCAGAGAGATTTTAAGTTTGGATCAAAGTTTTGATCTTTATTATTAGTCCTCTCTCTGATCACGCCGTGCAGCAGCGACTTTCTTTTTCTGGGTTTTTGCTTTATGACTGGGAAATTGAGAAAAGTAGAGCAGCCCGTGATGAAAATTGGAAATGTGAAACAAAACAGTCTCTTCTTATTTTTCCAAACATCATTTTTACTTTTATCCTTTTTTTTTTTTTCTCAACATCTACTTTTCATTAACCAAACATGTGAAACACACATTGTTTTTCCACCATTACATATTGTCTCTTCATATTTTTCCAAACGTCATTTTTACTTTTATCATTCTTAAATACTTTTCCTTTTTGTAAAATCTCTTAAAATTTATTAATAATTTTGTCAATTGTAAAATATTAAATTAATTTTAAATTATTTATAATAAATTATCTTCTATATATTAAATGAGAAGCGTTGGAAGACCACTTTTGCTTAGGTGTCATCACCATATTTTTTCTCAGTATTTTTTATTTAATTAATTGTTAATTTTAAACTACTACTATTCTAATTACCAAACANAAATTTTAGTCATTTATTTTGACATNGTTCAAGTTATCCCTACTTCCAAACATAGTTAGAGAATATATTTTATTTAATGAATCAGTCTAAACCATTAATCAAAAGTAAATGCTATTCCTTAGCAAATTAAATTGAACCATTGAAAAAATAATATGCAATTGAAATCTTTTATATGACTAATTATTATCATCGATGTTTCAAAAATATGCAAATAATTATGGTTTTAAATAAATTATAT